TCTTTGCAGTCTGTTTTTGACTTAACTATCTTGAGTAATTTTGTATCATCTGCAAACTTTGCCACCTCACTATTTACCCCTTTTTGCAGATCATTTATGAATATGATGAACAGCACTGATCCCGGACTAGTACAGACCCCTGGGGAAACCTCTATTTACTTCTCTCCTTCTGAAAATTTATTCCTATCCTTTGTTTCCTGTCTTTTAACTGGAGTGCCTGGGAATGCTTTCAAGATCACCTAAGGATCCTTAATTTGATGTAATGCCAAGCCTTTTGTTATCTTAATCACCCTTTCTCTGTTTATAAACAAACTCCCTGCACCAAGGGTGGAAGTCCTTAGCAGTGCCCTCCCCCTCCCCCCGCGATTGGGGAGGGGCATGTGACCCTTCCTCCCCCCAGGTAGGTTACCACTGGTTCAACCTACAATTCCTTGTCTTTACTACAGTTTAAACAGAAGTTAGTCAACATGGGTGCATTTATCTGCTGTCATGCTAACTTTCCTGGTGAAGACAAGGCCTTAGTGGCAGCAGCAAACTCCTGTACAGTGGCCGGAGCTACTGGTATTTGTGATCAAGAGGGGATGACATACACATCTTCCCTCACTCCAGGGCTTATCTATACAGGAAAGTTATACTGGTGTAACAGTGTGCATGCTCTTCTTCCAATATAAGCCAAGCTGAAAAAAGTGTCCATACAGAACATTATACTGGTATAACTAGTAAAACTTTCCTATTAAGACAAGACTTAAGAGGCTTAATTCCTTTTCTTCCTCCTCTCTCTGCAAGGGTCTGTTCCCAAACCTGCAGAGAGATAATCACCCCTCTCCTGAAGCAGACAGTGGAATTGATGAAGGACCAGCATGACAGTTGCACATTGGCCTGTTCATTATGGGGGGTCAGATTTATACTGCTCCAGTTATACCTGTGATGGTTAACCTTAGGCCCCAGTAGAGAGAGCTGCAGCAGTGCTTAATTTGTAATAAAAGAGGTGCCGGTGCTCAAGCAATTAGGTGCTGGGGCTTAAGCAATTTTTTTACTTTCATGTGGCAAGCCCAGAGATGCCCGGGCTCTGAACTGCCAAACCCAGAGGTACTGAGGCTCAGCCCTGGCACATATTAAGCATTGAGCTACAATGTAACCTGGAGATGACAAAAGTGTCAAACATAACTGCTGAGTCCTCAATTGTGGAAGAAAAGGGTGATGTATGAAAGAAGTCCTTGCTACTGTGGCAACCTGCGTGTGTACAGGATTAATGAGGAGTCCACCATGAGCGCAAAGCTCCATGCAATGCTGAATCTGGTAATTAAGGAAACCAGACCATGGGCTTGAATACTAGTCTATTCCCATCATCCTAAAAAGCTCACATCTGTTGATAATCAGTTGATTTAAGATCACTGCATTTTATCCACCTGCCTAGCTCTTCCAGACCGATTATGTTGGCAAAGCCCATGGCTGCATCAGAGGAGAACACACATTTAGCTACAGTCCACACAGTGGTGGTATATTGTTATATTAAAAATCAGATGCCACAGATTTCAAACTCATTAAACCAGTAAATAAAGACCCCATCTGCAGTTCCTCATATTATCAAAAGAAATTTGATATATTTTTTTACATTAAAAAATCCAATCATTCTATTAAAGACACTGAGAAGTCAGATGCTAATACTGTCATACATATCCTGTTGGCATGAGATTTACATACAGTTTGATATTTAATGCATTGCTTCAACATGTTAAAAAACCATCTTTTCATACTTACAGTAGCAATATGAAGTTAATTCCATACAATATCAAATATCCTTTTTTAAAAAGTTTTAAATATATTACTCTGATTGCCAAAATGCCATTTTTATACACAAAGCTGCTAATACAATATACAGTTCTCTTACATTATTTTTTCACATAAAATACATTTTGTCAAGTTTTATTTGTACATCATTTACTACAGCTCAATGGAGTCATGAGTTATTGCAGAGGGCTGGGCATCCTTTTGACATGTCCTGGATATGCAGCAGCCGACCCTAGCTGTACAAGGCCTACAGATGCCACTGAAGTTAGTTTACTGCTTCCTTCTCCTAGAAAAACCAACAAAATTGCAGTCTGAGAAGTCAGATAAGGCTCAACTAAGGGTGCGTCCACATTGGCTATTTGAAAACTTGTTCTCCACTGGCTCAGGTGGAGGCTGGAGTATAAACGGGGCTCAGGCACGGGATTGATCACTAAAATGCCCGACTCTTCTTTCTAGACCCTCCACCATTGCTACCACCAGTAGAACTGCAACAGAGGAGAATTACAAGCTGTAAGTTTGCAGTAGCAGATGCACCCGTAAAGAATCCAATCATACTCTTCGTGTGTAGGCAATTGTACATTGGCAGCTTTACCTGCATGAAGACAGCAGGATCAGGCCTGGAAACTGCTCAGTAACTCCAAACCCCATTCTACAGCCTTAGAAAAATTACAGTGTCCTGTAGTAATGGACTACAGCTTGTAATACTACCATTGTGTTTGGGCACTTACTGTACAACAATATAATATCTTTTGTGGAGAGAACATGATGTGCCAACATCATCTGTTAAAATACACAAGGACTTGGATCTCATTGTGTACTCATATGACCCGAGAAAACCAAAGCTAACCTGGAGTTTTCACCTTACACAAGCTTTAATTTATAAATCAGCTAGTTACTAGTAAGATAATACTTTAGGAAGAACATTTAGTGCTCATAATGCTTGCACCAGGACATCAAAGCTAGAGAAAGAATAAAGATTTTAATGCTGGCACCAGACTTGATGTTGGAATCAAGTCATGGCCAGTGGACAGGAGCCAGAGCTGAAACTCAGGTGTATGTCAGGCCTGAGTATACCCTTCCATACTTCCTGTTCCGTCCCAGCTAAACCAACCACTCATGATGCTGTACATCTAAGGTTAGACCGTAGCCCCAAACTAACAAAACTAGAACTCATTATGCTTTTATTCCAGGTATCACAGGACTGCTGAAAATCTGTTTTATTTCAATTCAAATACAATTTTTGGGCTGGGTGGGAGGGAAGATTCCCTCTCCTCTCACTGGAAAAGCAGAGGAGAGAGATGGGGGAACAAAAGAAGCAAAACAAAAATCTACAATTCAAATTGAAAAATTTCATAGGAAGTGAAATTTTGAAAAAAAAGATTTTCCTTTGAAAAGCCATTTTGTCAAAACAATTGAAGCCAGCTGTACAGAGTCACCACATTCTAGTAGCCACGTGCTCTGAGCTATTTTGTAGCCAGCATAGTAATACATAGATATACCTATAGACAGGGAGAGCACCTCGAGGCAGGCTGACACCAATTAAGCCACTGAGATCTGCTAAAGAATAGTTCTAGTGCTTCCCGCGCTGGAGTATTCCTATTTCAGTATATGACTGATAGTGTTTCAACACAGAAGGCTGTGGGAACAGATGCCCAACATCAAGCTGAAGTGTGCTAAGAATGAGGCTCAATGCAATGTAGGGGATTATAAATGCTCACATCTACCTACAAACTTATCAGCCAAAAGCCACTTTGCATTAACAGAATTCATCATACCCACTGGGTATTGCCCTGTCTCATTATTGCTAAATACCCGAACCCTCCCTGTGACCATCATCCCCTTCCTTCCCTAACACAGGGGATTCTCTGCCCTGTGTAACATCTCATCAGAGCCCAAGCTAGAACACTGGACTCAAAGGAATTCAGATCTAGGTCCGAACTGAGGCCTTGCTCTAAGAGCTCAACTGGGACAAGAAATTTCAACATCTTGAAGGGGAAAGTCTGGATCTAGGTCTGAAATGAGAACCAAACTTTATAGTTCAAGCCCATCTCTAACAATTAATAGTCGATTGCTATGCGTATTGCTTGGCTGGATCAAGAACTGGCAAAGACTGCTCCCAGGCACTATTATGCATCTGAAGAAGGTCCTTCAGCATGGCAGATGGAGCTCCCTCCAACTCCGCATTAGTTTGCTAGGAGCACTAGGGCCCCAGTGTATCATGAAGGCTTGCATGCAGTAAGGTTGTGCCCATACACGGCACTCCGGCTGTGGTGACTAATAACAGGGATGGTGACTGGATTCAACCTCCTCGAAAGATGGATCTGAAATTTACACCCTGGGCCCATGTCTAAGAAAGCTAGAGTCTGACCGGCTTTCCCACTGTTACTCAGATTTTAACACAGCCAGGCTGCCCTTGCCTACAGGGGAACATGCATGAAGGAGAGGATTGTACCAAAGAGGCAGGGCCAGACAGCTGTGTAGGCTTTAGTGGAAACAGAGCTTGAATGGTTTGGCCAAGAACAGAGCACTAAAAGAGAAGAAAAATTTTCTGCTAACCTAAGTGCTAGACATGCAAATCCTGAGATGTTTTCTATTCTCAGCAACTTTTTTAGTGGCACTAAAATCTCCAATGAAGTAGCTGAGTGTCTGCTATTGTAAGCCACAAAATAATCAAAGCATCCTACTGGAATGGCCCCCCAAGTGCTAGATATTACAGGCTTTAGCATAACTGCTACAGCTATAGTGCTTTTTATAAATGAATAAGGACTATATTCTTAAAGGAGGGCACTTGCAATATGTCTACAGAAGTGCCTGTGCACCTATCCTACCCATGAAAACCTGTATTTGCATCTACCAAATAAATACCTGCTGGTGGATTAAGTCCCCATTCTGTGCTCAGAATTATCCATTCAGTGCTTACTATCACCACTTCACACACATGTTTAAGTTGTCTACGCCCTGCCCATGTATCCCTGCTGGTGTCCCATGGCCATCTAGGCATTCCAGCCAGCAAGTCCCTTATGCCCTTGTTTGAAAACTTATCCCAAGCTGTCAAATTGATTCACATCCTTAAGTAGCCATGGAAAGGACCCTAGATGGACTATTCCATTCCCAAATCCCTACACGCACCAATGGTAGATAAAGCTCATCACTGCCCTGGTGCAGCTCCTGGAGCATTCACTAGTTTCTGTCTCTTCTCCGTTCTGAGATAAATTGGAGATAAATTACAAGTTATCACCAAGGTCATATTTACAGCCCCAGAGCCATAACAGCCACATTAAGCAGCTCTAAGGCCAAGTTTATGGTTACAATGTTACAGCAGTCCAATTAAGGGAATATTTGTGCAACCTAGAGCATGTAGCATCTCTTCCCTTCCACACCCCTGGATAGTAAAGCCATTGTTGCTTAGTTAGACATCACAGCATTAGCTGGAATAATGAAATCCTGGAGATTACGTTAATCAGAGATGTCATATTGATGCATCAGAGCTATTTGTCTAAATTACGCTGGGTTCACATTGCTTTAGTGTAGTAACCACTGTCAATGAAAGCAAGCCCCAAACTATATAATTCCATTGCATTCAAGTGTCTGCTTTCTATTTGCTGGAATGAGATGTAAAGCCCAATACTCCTCTCACTTTCACCGTTGTAATCTGCCTTCATTGGAGTCACTTCTGATTTACGGCTGGTGTGAGTGAGAAGGAACAGGCCATGACCTGATATCATCTATCACTGGGAATACAGCTAACAACTGTTCAAAGTTTAGCACAGGCTGCAAATGATGTGCAGCAACACCAGGCTAATTCTGCTCCAGCAATTCTTATTCCAGTGGGGGTGAGGGGAGTAACGTCTTTCTCCCAGGTAAATGGGAAAAGGACATTCAAGAGCTGGTAAAAGGGGAACACCTTCATTCCATGATATCGAGGCTACAGTTGCTAAGACCGCAGCAAGTTTTCTGGGATGTTCCATTCCCTGGAACTCTGGGTAATCATATGACACCACCAGACCTACATACACCCCCCAACACAGTCACCTCTGCTGCACGGGACTCTTCAATTATCTGCTCAACTTCTTTAAGTTGGGAGAATAGGAGCTAAGCTCCCTGATGGCCCAATAACCTTAGAGGGCGGTTGGTTTGTTTTTTTATCATACAAGTTCAAACAATGCAGCAGTAGAGTTCCAAGGCAGGCAGGGCATCAGGAAATGGAACAGGAATAGCAGGTTGGCCCCTTGAAAATGGGGCAGGAGTGTCAGGCAAGATCCCTGGGATAATGGGGAGGAGTGACTGGGTACGTTATTAAATACATTAGGAAACGATGCCTTTGCTGTAACAGACCTTCTGAAATCTGACCGGACTTTCTATCCCCTATGCCAAAATTCTCTTCATTTAGGGAGAAAATGGAAAGAAAGGGTAAGTGGACTTTCAGAGTCCAAAAGACTTACGCGTCAGCCTGAGAGGAAGCTCTAAGACCTGCCGATACACCCTGGCACCTTCCTTGTAACAGAGGCTCATCTCCCCTGCCTGGGGGGCAAATACTATAATGTGCAATGTCCTGCCTTCTCCAGCAGAGGGCGAGATGGGCCCAAATCCCTGGATATGGCACTGCAGACACAGGCTCCATTCAAAAAAGTGCTACATCAAATTCAACTCAAGTAAACAAAGCAAGGAGTGCGTGAGCCCTCCAGACAACCTGATATGCGGCTTGTACCCCTTCAGCTCTTGCTTCCTTTCCCCCATATAAGGATAGTGCAACTCTGGGTCCCACCACTGTCAAAAAGCCCCTGTTCATTATAACACCACACGTGTCTCACTAACACACTGCTAGTCTCCCTTGTAGAGATGGAACAATGTTTCTAGTTGTAGGATGGCTTCACTAACAGGCTGCCTCATCTTTAGGCCAGTGTCTCCTGTTTTCCAAGCCATAAACGGTTGAAAGGATGGGTGTGTGTGGGGGGGGGAGGATGAGTCAGAGAAGAGAAAGGTACATTTAAAGTCCCTTACCAGAAGGGAATACAGTATTGCTCTCAAATAGCAGCTGGAAAGAGAGGAAGATGCATGGAAGTTGCGTGGTCTACGGCAGATGCTTAGCTGGAGCACAGATACAGTGCTGTGAGCAGGCGTCTACCCAGTGATGGCTCAGGGTGGCGTCAGGAACCCAAACAATACTGTGTTTTTTAAGTCTGGGGCCTAAGCTGCACCTACAAGACAAAATCCCCAGACGCAGACTGTGTGCAATGGCCCCTTTGTGCAGACAAATATTTTGCAGATGCAATTTAAAACATTTTAAAAATATTTTGCCTGTTTATTCTTAACTTTCATGTCCACTTCCCTAGAGCTGATGCTCTGCTGATAGGTGCTGTCTCCTTGCTGCTACCATTCAGGTGAGGGTTCTGCTCCCTGAAGGGCAACTGCAGAAACTGGCCTGCCAATTGCACATCCCTTGTTATACCATGCCACAGATTCCACAAATGCAGCCTGGCACACAGTTAACACACGCTACCCCGAAATACTGGTGCTGACTTCCTATCCAACAGCGCTTCACTAGACCACTCCAAACTTCACTGCTGCATGCTGGCTTTTGCTCAGTGAAAGAAGCCACTTTCTCTCTCATACAAGATAACTATTTCTGAGCCTTTTGCTGGCAGCTACCGTACTGCTACTGGTGACCCCAGCATAGGGTTTGAAAAAACACTGGAATGCTGGGAAAAAATGTTAAAAAGTTTCCATCCTACTGTGATGCTCAACAACCAAAAGCAACAACTTAGTATTTACATATTTAGATGCTTGAGCAGCTTAGCCCCAAGAACACAGGTTCACACACAAGAGTGTCAAAACCTAGTGTGGCTGGAAATGTTTCTATGCCATTTTTACTGGAAGCAGGTATTTCTTTCCCCTTCCTTCCTAATTTAAACAGAGCCCTGCGGTTCTGGAAACCCAAATACAATAGCACTCTGCTAGTGCAGGAGAGACAGAAAGCAACAGAGACCATTCTAGTTTTTAAGCTGAGTGAAGCATAGAGAGTAAAACGCAGCACCAACAGGGAAGGTGAGATTGTTAAAACTGAATGGATTTCACTAATCTAAGGGTCTTAGTAATACAAGTGATTTGTTTCTATCCCATTATTGACCCTTTCAGTCAGCATTTTATTGCCAGAGTTTATTCTACTGGATTTCCATCAGGAGTTCCGCTTCAAACCTGAAGGCACTGCACAGCCCCTGCTTTCAATTAGAGTAGGCCACAAACTGGCTTGCAGCTTTTGACAGTGGGCTGTCAGGCATCACGCAATGCAGGCATCACACAACTTCCCGAAGTGCATGCACTGGGGATGTGCCCAGCTTCACCTCTGTATAAGCAAATGAAACACACCAAAGACTCAAAGTCTGCATTTGTAACCCCTGGGCTGTTTGCACAAATGCAGGGGGCTGGCCACACATTCTCGGGGGATACACCTATCACATCCATGAGTGAGAGGCGGGCCCAGCATGTCGCATTCCAGAAGCTGGGTGGCTCCCAGCAGGAGGCTCAGAAAAGGAGGACTCTAATTCAGATGGTTTTGTCTTTCAAAGACCCTTCATGATTTAGAGTGGAGAGCCCCCCACTGTCCCTTTCATAACACTGCCATGAGGAAGAGTGGGGTAGTTTTTTTTTACTGCACGCAAAGATGTGTACTTCATTTCTCCACTATGGGCCTCACTCTGCCAGCCTTACTCATTTGATTGCAGTGGGGTTACTGGCAGGGTAAGGTACTATTCAAGATGAATGAGGCTGGCCCCATCAAGTCCTATGTAACTAAACTGAGTTCTCCCCATGTGGGGATGGAAACAGCCCATCCTCAGAAATAAAGCTAACCTGGCCATCCACTTTTAGTCTCCTCTGAGGTGAGACATGGATGACACTAGGAAATCCTGCAGCACCCGTGCACTTTCTCCTCCATTTCATCCATGGGAGCTTTGAATTTCAAGAGAGGGGGATCGCCACTGGATGCTGTGTAATAAACCGATGTCCCATTGGAACTGTAGGGAGAAGTCCTGGAATCAATCAGGTGCTCCTTGGCCTCGCCCCCATTCTCAACTACCCCACTCACACTGGTGCCAAAGTGGGTGCTGAGGAAGGGGTGGTTAAGCAGCTTAGCTGCAGCCCGCTGCCGCTTCAGTTCAGAAAGTGTTTGATGGCTGCGATCCTTGTAGCCACCCCAGATTTGCTGAGAGTCGGGGACACCGGGGCTGCTATAGGGCAGGGCTTGACTTGCATTACAGTCTGGAGCTGTGTGCATTTTCCAGACGTCCCCGTTGGAAACCGAGTACTGGTAAGTGCTGGCCGATGCCCTGAGTCCATTCTGGAGGGAGGATTCAGGGTCACTCTGTGTGCTTTTGGTAGCTAACTCAGGAAGGAGCATAGACTTCTCCAGCACTGAATTCTGTAATGAGAAAACGTTAAAGAGAAGCAGCTCCCAGAGTACAATCCATCCCTTCCACAGCTTCCTAGTCCAGGCCAGTCCCTTTTAATCCATTCCTGCAGCCAAAGAGTAGCAGCAAAGGGGTGAAATTACCTCTCCCCCAGCCCTATTATTTCATTAATGTGTGAACTTCAAATCCTAACTGGGACCAGTTAAATGTTAACATAGAAAGACAGCTCCACATTTGTTTTCTTTTTAAAAACCAAGGCAATTAAATGTAAAAAAAACTTGTCTTAGTTCAACATGATGGTAACTGAATTAAATAAAGATTACCAGAGAGTGCAAGATCAAGTTCTTCTAGAAACATTGGCCCACCCACATTGCACCTAAATGATGTCTATTAAATGCACATAAAAATACACACAGTTATATGAGAACATGAGTTTTTGCAATTGCCTGACTTTTTGGGTCAGATTCTGGCCTCATTTATTTTGTTGTGAATCCCACATCATTCCTTTCACTTCCAGGGCAGTACTCCTGATTTGCACCAGCATAGCTGGAACCAGAATCTGGCCTTGTATTTAAATATGTGCCCTTAACATTGTCTTTAATATAATCTAGGTTCTCACACAACACCTATCACCATAGTGTCCAAGTACTCATAACCAACACGCCCATTCACAACTCTGGTTTCAGGCTCTTTATGAATTTTGATATGAAACTAGAACACGAATTTGGTTCCTTACTGGATCTGTGTTCTCTTGGTCAGATCGAGCCTCCATCATTTCTCCAGCATAGTTTCTCTGTTCTTCCGTTGCTCCCATTTGCTGCCAGACAATGGCCTCCTTCTCATACTCCTTCCTGTAAAGGTTGGTTCGGTCCGAAAGACTCGCCCTCCTCACCACCTTCCTGAAGAAGAGAAGCAGGGAGCAGAGACTTTAGCAAGATGGGGCAGTGAGGGAGCTCCTCCTCACACAATAGCTCCTTCATATCCTTCTTGCACTTTACAGCAGCTTCCATCAGTGTCTAGGAGCACGTTACAAACATGAATTAAGCCTCAGAGCACCCATGTGAGGTAGAAAAGGTCCCTAACTCCCACATTACAGGGAGGAAAGGGAAGCATAGAAATGGTAAAGGAATTTTTCAAAGAGGATTGGGGCTCAGAAGATGAGATCTCACATACAGCTCTGCTAGTGGACAGCTTTCCACCCAACCTTGCCTGGAGCTTTATCCACTTGTTTTGTTCTAGGAGAGGACCTGTGGAATGGTCCAGTGGAGTTCTGCAGGCCATAGCTTGAGAACTGCTACTCTAAATTCATAAAGAAAAAGAATATTCTAGGTAGACTGCATGTTCAGTCAACTTGCAGAAGAGTATCGGGGTTCTGTCCTTCTGTTACCTATTGCTATACCTCCACTTTTCCCCACATCCCCTGTCATTAGAACTATCATGCATGAGAAGATCTTTTCAAAGCATTAATCAATGATGGAACAAATACCAATGATTTAGGAGATGGGAAACTCCCCTATCACCTGCTATGTTTTCCCGCACTGTTTGATGCACTGCGTCATGGAGCCTACTTTTCTAGAAGCAGCACAATCTCCAAAAAAAAAGCTCACTGAACAATTGGCCCAATTTCAGACTTTTGGAGAGTCCACTGAACTTCAGAGCAGACAGCTTTGTATCTGATTATACTGAATACTGGGTATTCTGCTTTCAAGTTTGGGACAGCAAGGATGCTATCCAGTCTAGTGTGTGGCATGATCTGTGGGAAGATCAATTTCGCACTCACCCTCGGCTTCCCGTGCTGGAGGTCCTCCTGCTGAGGGAGGACTTGTGCCTCATCTGGGATTTCATGATCACATCATGCTTATGTTTCAGCTCCAGCAGTAACACTTTGAACTCCTCTTCTTCACACAAGTCTATGGCACACACAAACCAAACCAAGCCATGAGCAGGGCTGTACTGATGTGATACACTCAGCTGAATGGAACAGGGAGAGGGGGGCTAGAGGGAGCACACATGATAACTACCATAATTAGACACACCTGTGCCACCCTCAAAGCTGTGCCTTCTTGGTCTTCACAGTTTGGTAGAGATAATGGAATAGAATTGAGAAGGAAAACGTAAGCAGAACAGGAAAGCCAGTCCCTAAGGCAATTGGTGGAAGCAGTATTGTCTGGGGCACCTAAAACAGGACTGGAAAAAAGCACTGGAGAATATACTGTGGAATTTAGTTCTGCAATGGCCAGAGAGACTGACTTGATCCCTCTCTTCTGTGCAGTGTATTGTACCTCACATCACAAAGGGGAAGAGATGTTTTTTACCATTGCTTTATATTTTGATATTCTAGAAATGTAGGGTGAATCCTGGAATCACATGGACGGTCTATGGGGAAGGGAAGAAGCCTTTGAGAATTTCTGTATTTAACCAATTGCTGTTCCCGTGGACACACAATGACAGTAGGTCAGCAGCTGGGGATAGGATTCTTAGAAACGGAGATTGGAAGTCGAGGTGTCAGACTTCCCTATCTCCCCACTTTCCACTCCACACCAAACTGGCTTGGAATCTGGCCACAACAAACCAGGGTAATAAAAACCACATTCTTTGGGCTGCACAGAGTAGGTGCAGAAGACCTGAAAAGCAGCAAACCATTCACAGTTCTGCAGCCGGCAGGTGGAAGGGGAGCTGGAGACACGTGGGCAGGGGTATACGAAAGAGAGGCTGATGCTTCAATCGCAAAGGTAACATTTTCAAAAGCACTGAAGTGACTGAGGCACTTACGCTCTTAAGTCCCATTGACTTTCAATGGGACTTATGGTTTTAAGTCACTTGAAAAGAATCAGACTTTTAAAAATTTCAGCCCTGAACTCCAGCAGGCTAAGAGGCTCCCTGGTTTCTTTGTGCTGTCTGGAGAAATCCTAGGGATTTAGCCAAGATCAGAAATACCCTTACCCAGGAGAGAATTTGAACTCACCTATTGGCATCTCATCAAAGGCCGTCCTGGCACTCAGGCTGGCCCCATGGGACACCAGCAACTCTGCCATCTGCATCTGCAGCAAGGGAAATAAAGCAATATTCACAGCCCTGTTTAGGCTATCAGTAGCTGCATGTGATCTAAGGGACAAACTTATGGACCAGCGGGGTGCATGATTCATTGACACCAGGATCTCTGACTGTGCTGGTGAGTGTATGAGTGATCTCCATGCAAGATACTAAGCACAGTTCCTACCAGCTCAACCATTGGAAGATTTCCCACCAGCTCTCCCAGGGATAGCGCCTCACTTAGAATCACCAGGGTCTTAGTGAGACTCTGAGCTTAGATAACCCCCAATGCTTCCAGCCCATGGGCGGGGACCCCGCAATTGGGAGTAAATCCACTCCATGTCTAATTGACAGGATGGCATTGTGTCCATTGGCAATGGACCCTGGCATGTATATCCTAAGGAACAGTACTAGCAGATAGGTATCCATGAGATCTGGGAGTTGGAGGGAAAAAAACTAGGAACAAATCAATTCCTTGTATGTACATGTACAGGCAGAGAACACACTCCAACCCTCCCACACTGGCACAGTGAGATTCCCAGCTCCTCAGTGGGACCTGCACTCATTTCTACCCTAGGGAGAGCCTGAGGTATCAGACTTTAAAGCTGTAACATGTGGATGTCTAAAAAGCTAATTTATGTCTTTTTTTAGGGCTTTCTGAGCCCTGCACAACTGGTAACTAGGACCCCAGCATTACAGGGGAAGGGATACAAGAAACAGTGCCAATGACATTTTCACAGCATTCGAAAACCATCCTAAACAGTAGTTTTCCAACACATGCCATATGCAAAATATTGGCTGATGTATGTGTGTGGCGGAGCGAATCATGGCATTATTAAGGCTTTTTTGGCACTTGTTTGGACTTGTTTTGCCCACACAATACACTTGCTCTGCTTGCACCCACAGAACACCTGGATTTTGCAGACAAAGGGAGTGTGCACTCTCTGGCCAGAGCACTCGTCCTCCGCTTTGAAATGCTGCCCCAGCCTCCCACTGAGGTGAACCAGCTGCACAAAATAGACTTTCAACAAAAATGTTTACCTGTCCCCAGAAGGCAGCAGCATGGAGAGGTTCCCAGCCATCCCAGTCCTGGATGTCTAGCCGTGCTCCATGGTCTAGAAGCATCTCAGCTGCATGCAGGTAGCCATTAGCCCCAGCTATGTGCAGCTAAGAGACCAGGAACAGAGAGTATGAATTGCTGTCTAAGGCTCATGAACTTCCTTCTTCACCAAGTAACCCAGGTGATGCCACTGTAGTGTCTGAGTTTAGACCAAGAAAAAACAGCAGCGCTGGATTCAGCTCCCATTGAAGTGAATGACAAGACACTGCATTGACTTCGAGGGGAGTTTGGTTGGACCCTGGAACGCCATCAATGTGGTTTAGGTAAATCTCTGCCAGTGAAGGTCTTTGGGCTGATCTAAAAATGTCCTCCAAGGGTTTTTAACATGTAAGTGCTTTTTAACGTGTATCAAAACAAAAGCAGCATCCAAAGTACATTTTAAACCAATGAAATCACCATCTATAACTATTTATGGAGAGATAAATGTAAGGTACTGTGAAGCTAGGTGCAATGTGGCAGGCCTCTGTGGTCAGGAATGAACCCCCCCCACCAAATTTTGTATTTTTATCTCAAAAGGTTCTGCAACGCTTCACAAACTAAGCATGCAGCACCACCACAATGCAGCCAGCTCTGGGGTGGAGGATCACAGCTAAAGGGCACTCTGCACATTCCATGACAATGGGGAAAAGAGGACATTCTTCTGAGATGCTCTGGAATGGATCTCTAGGACCAAGTTTTCAGCCTGGCCATAGCCAGGCTTCCATTTCCGTGGCCACAGTTTTGCATATGCTGTTGCTTGCACTCTCAATTTAAGTGAATAAGATATCTAAATCCCTGACGGCTTGCAATTCAGGGACTCTGCATTTCAGAGTTTGGTCTCCAACGTCTGATACCGAGAGCACAAACGGCATCTGAGGATCTTTTCTACTCTGTGAGGACATTTAGGTCTCTTTGGGGAGTTTTTCTTAATACTGTCTGTCTGCTGCTGTATCCTTGATCAAAACATACCCTCTTCCTGCTCCATGCTCTGTTTTGCAATTTATTGTATGCAAGTCGGCAGCAGTCCCTCCCCTTCAGAAGTAATTCCATTTCAAGTGGTGTTGTACGGGAAAAGAGAACTTCTACTCCTTTCTGCACATTCCATAATGGAGAAGGAATGTGGATCATGCCACAGAAATGAAATTATACCAGCTGTCTTCTCAACAAACTTCTTGGTGTTCTCTTGTGTGTAATTTAAGGGACACTCTCAAAGCAGGGAGGTCTGAAGCTCAATTTGCCCTTTTCATATCCTATCATTCTGCGTAAGAGTTATTTTTGTACTAAAATTCAATGCTTTTCTAAAAGAAATGCTAGCTGCCTGCACCACCCTACGAAAACGAGCCATTGCTGTCATGCATTCCAGACTAGAAGTTTGTGGCTGTCAGGTAATAAAAGGCAGTTGCAATAGTTTTTCAAAGCTGGTGATCATTAATATGGAGATCAGGGCCCCATTGTGCTAGGTGCTGTTCTAACACACAGGCAGACAGTCCCTGTCTCAGAGAGGTCACAATCTAAACCAGCAACATACCGAAGGTGGGGGTGAAAGGAATACACAATCGGATACACTATATACATTTGCATCCCCTCACTCTACTATAAAATATATGGAGTGCCAAATCTCATCTTCCCCTCAAACCATCATGAGCCAGCTCATTTCTTATAGGCTTTGCATCAGTGGTCATATCTTCATGAGGCCAACAGGGGGCTGCATGTGAGTGGGAAATTCTTGACTTTCACAAGCAATAGCCTGAAAGGTAAATGCAAGCTTGATCCCCGGGGGGAAGTTGTCAAAATTTATAACAGTTCTACTGTGCTGATATGATAAGACAGAGATTTTAGGATTGCCCGACAAGCCAGAGCTGGGTGATGCTAATGGAATAGTCAAACAGGATGTTCAAAGAATTGAAAATTAGTTAAAAGGAGAAACCTCGGAATACCATAAAAATGTAAGCCCCGTGAAAGATTCCAGCCACCAGAGTCTTATTTAGAAAGCCTGCCCTCCTCAGATTTTGTAACTAATGATACGGGAAAGATTTCTGAATCTCACTAATCAACATTTTAGAGTTAGAGACTTAATTACACTGCCATGGTTTGGCCACTTGTGTAATGACATGACGAGGGGGGGTGGGGGAAGGGGCAAAGAGGGCAATTGCCCAGGGGCCCCTGGCCGCTGACGCTGCCATGGTAGCCGCAGACAGGAGCCCCAGGCCCTTTAAATAAAAATAAAAATAAATAAATAAATTAATGGAGATATCCCATCTCCTAGAACTGGAAGGGACCTTGAAAGGTCATCGAGTCCAGCCCCCTGCCTTCACTAGCAGGACCAAGTACTGATTTTGCCCCAGATCCCTAAGTGGCCCCCTCAAGGATTGAACTCACAACCCTGGGTTTAGCAGGCCAATGCTCAAACTTCTGAGCTATCCCTCCCCCGCTGGGTGGGCCGCAGGGCTCCTAGGTGTGCGCAGGGTGGTACCGGCAGTGGCTAAGGCAGTCGGGAGGGCATGTAGAAGCCCTGGTGGTGCCGGAAGAGCACGCCCAGCAATGCAGCCAGCAGCTCGCTGGGCACCAGCCAGTGCAGGCGCAGCACTGCCCAAATGTCAGGCAGACAGCGTCCGTGGCATATGCGTGTGTGCACCAGCAGCCGCACATGGTCCAGCTCCGCGCCCATGTGGCGACGCCATGACAGACCAGCAGTAGCGTGTGGCCCGACTCCAGCCCACCCTGCATGAATCAAACCTCAGCCATCCGTTTCTAAGGGACCAACTGACTGTTCTGTCCTGGGGCCCGGAATTACTGTCGGTGGGCCTGTAGATACCAAAGCCTTCTCAGATACCTCTGAACTCAAATGTCAACTTATCAAGGTCACAGCCACACAGGCGACAATACACTACAGTTAAAAAACAGTATTACTAGGGCACCCTAGCTTTTGGGGAAAGTTTAAGTGAGAGGCCAAACAGACTCCTTTGGGGCAACCAAAAAGATATAGGGTCAGATCCTTCAGTTGGGCTTGATCCCACTAAAGTCAATGAGGATTTTTTTTCCTCACTTCAGTAGAAGTCAGATCAGACACTAACGGGATTAGGAGTGATAATAGAACTACTGAATGGTTTTACTCAGCCTGCCCAAAGACTTTTCCAAAATTTATGCTCCCATTGGAGTGTACAGGACTCCCATTGTGGGATTTCTTTTGAAGCAGCTGGTACTGGACCGCTATCAGAGACAGAATACTGGACTAGATAGGCCAGTGATCTGATCTGTTACTACGTTCTTATGAAGTTGGCCATTAACTCCAGTGGGAGCAATATCAGGCCCTGAATTGCGAAGTCTTTACTCATGGACACCATTATTGCTCAAAGGAGATGACCTAAAATAGAAGCCACTAGCTTTCTACCTCCTCACACTGTACTTGTCCTTGGAGATTAACAAAAGACATACACCACTGACAGCCTCCTAGAATTCACACAGGTTGTAGGGACAGACGAGGGTGGATACTGTAGCAATTCTGCTCACCAATGTAGCACCTTGAATATCTGTCCTGTTCAGGTCTTGTCCTGCTGCAATTAGACCTCGGATGTCAGAGATCATGGCCTGCTCCGGAGCAGCCCGCATCTCATTGATTTTTTCCTGTGTGATGCCTGTAGTTAACAGGGAGAAAGGGAAATGGAAATGTTCTTTTCCTCTTCTGACCCAGTAAATAACAGCAATAATTGGGTTCAAATTCCTTGTCTGACCATATCTGCATGCTGAACATCAGTCAGAACACTTGGCACACTCTATCCGTACAGTACCCCCAAAGCACAGCCAGGTTAATAGTGCTCCTAATGGCGTGAGAATGATATTCCAGCAAAATCCTACCCTGGGGACAAGAGCCAGAGCAAATGTGCCCATGCAGAGCAAACAGGAGCACAATTTTAACCGCCCCCCTCCCCGAAACTCAACTTCTCTGCTTGGAAAGATGAGAGGCTATCAAACCCTGGTGGCTCATAGGCAGCTAGCTGCACAGGTTGAGAACCGATGGTGTAACCACTGTTTCTTTAACCCTTTGCATGCTAGAAGCAATTTTGAGCTGAGGCACTAACCCGTTCAGAGGTAGCCTCATTCCTGACCCGCATTTCCAGCAGGCCTAATGGAAGGGACCATCTTGGCCATCTGTGCAGGAGGCAATTATGTGCTGCATGGCTGACAGGGAGACTCCCCTCTCTGTGCTCAGGAAGCAGGCCCCCATTCTCAGAGGGAACTTATGGGCTATTTCATCCACCCTGCTACTTGCCATAGGATAGTCACTGCTTATGTGTATGTTATACAGGGAAGAGATTTGGCAAGGGAGAAAAATTGCAGCTCTGGAAGGGTAAGAAATCATAGAAATGTAGGACTGGAAGGGGTCTTGATAGGTCATCTAGGTCAGTCCCCTGCACTGAGGCAGGACTAAGTATTATCTAGACCATTCCTAACAGGTGTATGTCTAACCTGTTCTTAAAAACCTCCAATGATGGAAATTCCACAACCTCCCTAGGTAATTTGTTCCAGTGATTAACTACCCTTAGGGTACGTCTTCACTTACATCCGGGTCCGGATGTAAGCAATCGGTTTTCTGAGTTCGATTTATCACGTCTGGTTAAGACGCGATAAATCGATCCCGGAAGTGCCCCGGATCGATCCCGGAAGTGCTCGCCGTCGACGCTGGTACTCCAGCTCGGCGAGCGGAGTACGCAGCATCGACGAGGGAGCCTTCCTGCCGCGTCTGGACCGCAGTAAGTTCGGATTAAGGTACTTCGAATTCAGCTACGTTATTAACGTAGCTGAATTTGCGTACCTTAGTCCGAAGTGGGGGGGTTAGTGTAGACCAGGCCTTACACTTAGGAATTTTTTCCTAATGTCTAACCTAAATCTCTCTTGCTGCAATTTAAGCCCATTGCTTCTCGACCTGTCCTCAGTGGTTAAGGAGAACAATATATCACTCTCCTCTTTATAACAATCTTTTATATACCTGAAGCCTGTTATAATGTTTCCCCTCAGTCTTTTCTCCAGACTAAACAAATCTAATTTTTTTTCAATCTCTCCTCGTAGGTCACATTTTCTAGACCTTTAATCATTTTTGTTGCTCTCCTCTAGACTCTCTCCAGTTTCTCCACATCTTTCCCAAAGTGCAGTGCCCAGAACAGGGCACAGTACTTCAGTTCAGGCCTTATCAGTGCTGAGTAGAGTGGAAGAATTAATTTTCATGTGTTGCTTACAACTCTGCTGCTAATACATCCTAGAATGATGTTTGCTTTTTTTGCAACAGTATTACATTGTTGACTGATATTTAGTTTGGGATCCATTTATAATCCCCCCAGATTCTCTTCTTCAGCACTCCTTCCTAGGCAGTCATGTCCCATTTTGTATTTGTGCAAGTGATTAGTCCTTCCTAAGAGTAGTACTTTGCATTTGTCCTTAATGAATTTCATCCTCATTATTTCACACCATTTCTCCAATTTGTCAAGATCATTTTGAATTCTCATCCTGTCGTCCAAAGCTTGCAATCACGGCCAGCTTAGTATCATGCGCAAGCTTTATAATTGTACTCTCAATGCCAGACCCAGGACAGATCCCTGAGGGACCCCACTCAATATGTCTTCCAGCAGGACTGTGAACCATTGACAACTACTCTCTGAGTATGGTTTTCCAACCAGTTGTGCACCCACTTGATAGCAGGTTTGTCTAGGCTATGTATCCCTAATTTGTTTATGAGAAGGTCACGTGTGATAGAAACAAAAACCTCACTAAAGTCGAGCTATATCACATCTGCTGCTCCCCCGCATCCACAAGGCTTGTTACCCTGTCAAAGAACGATATTAGGTTGGTTTGACATGCTTTGTTCTTGACAAATCCGTGTTGACTGTTACTTATCACCTTATTATCTTCTAGGTGCTTACAAATTGACTGTTTGATTATTTGTTCCATTATCTTTCTGGGTTCTAAAATTAAGCTAGCCAGTCTATAATTCCCTGGGCTGTCCTTATTCCCCCTTTTATAGATAGGAAAATGGGGGAATACATAATCTGTATAGCATATGCCCTTCAAACAGAAAGACGAGAACCTCAGCCCAATTCTGCTCCCATCGAACTCAGCAACCAGACTCCTACTGACTTTAATGGCCGCAGCAGAGGGCTCTGTGTTTAAATGAGTAGGGAATACATGAACAGATGATGCTACCATCTGAGAACCAGCTTATGAAAACTGAGGGGGTAATAGCACTGGCTATTAGCCAGGCATAGTGAGGACAGAATGCACGTACTGAGACTAGATTCTATAGTGATGGGCACCAAAACGGACCTTAATAGATAGGGCAGATGCCAAGCAAGCTTTCTGCACCCACAGCTTTAGCAACTAGGATGAGGCCAATCACTATTACATGGTAAGCTATGCTTAAGACCCTTAGGTGCACCTCCGGTGATGGTGCACCTCTGGTGATGGTACACCTCTAGTGATGGTGCACCTCTCGGGAGGGAATCATGCAGCTCAGTATTCTTAGACTGCGTCACCGGGCTGCAGCCTCCGTTTCCCGCAACCATGATAACCAGTCAGGCTCAGCTATAAACTTGGCATCTATAAGTCCTTTTCCTCCAGGAGTCTGTGATGAGCAGCTGATTAAAGTGACCCACAAACTGCTTCTTCAAAAGAAAGCATTATTTATTCACCCAAAGGTACATAGCACACAGAGCAAAGGGATAAAACAAAACAAAAGGCCTGTGCACCTGGGTCTTGCCTAAACGTTCTCTCCTTGCAAGGTGTGAGTAAATTCCACTCAATCCAGACACCCCTGATCCTGGCCTGGGAGAAACAGGCAGTCCCTGTAATCTTCTCAGTCTCTCTGTCAGAGAGCCCTCTAGCTGCTGCTACCTGTTCATCTTCCTTCTTCTCTAGGCTGAGGTCTTTAATGGTTTAGTGCCTCTCTGATCCTAAGCTCTGGCCTGGGAAAGGTAAACTAGCTAGCCTGTCCAGAATGAAGAGCTAAACTCAGATCCAGGTTCAGATTTCAAATTCCACCACCCATCTCTCTCTCTCTCTCTCTCTCAAAATCTAAGGTTGTCTTTTCATATGAGTCCCTTCACAGCATGGGCTCTGCTATAATGATCTCCATTAAGGGAGGTTGTATGACTCAAAGGATTGGTAGCTGGACAGAATCTTTTACCATGGGTTACTATTCAGGACTTTATGGATTAGGCTCATGAAAGTGTGGCCTCCAACAGCTGCCAAGAAGAAATGCAATGCAGTGACTTCTACTTTCCTCAATAGGAGTACCAAGCACTGAGGAACACAAAAACATGATTCAATACTTTATTAACCCACTTCCAATGTATTTTGAGTATTCCCATCCTTCCTTACCCTGGTATGCCATGCAGGTCTCAATGACATCGAGGGTCTGCTCATCTTCACAGAGGTCATATGGCATGTTTCCATCTGCATTTACTGCCAGCAAGTCTGCTCCACTGCAAAAAGAAAGTTCATCATGAGGAAGTGGCACCAATACACATAGAAGGAAAGGGAACCTCAGATGCTGCCCTATAACAGACAATATCCAACAGGTCATGGCAGCTGGGATGAGTCCTTTGAAGACCAAGCTGGGGTTTGAATAGTAATGTCTCATATGTGGTGCCCAAATACCTCCAGGATTGGACAGACATAAAGATATACAAGGCGGTGTCCATGGGACCTATGAAGGATTGACATGGGAGGTACATGTCCTGAAGTAGATGTATTCATAGCACACTGAGCCTCCTCCATGGGATTTGGGGCTAGCGGATCTGGGCTGTGCATGGCCCCAGCAGCCTCGCCTGCTATGCTCACACTCCTCTCTCCTGCGCTTTTAGGAAGGAACAGGCCAATGACCCATCGGTGCCAGAAGCAACATCTCACAATGAGCCACTGTAACATCATTCTGGAACACAGCGCCAAGCCATTAACAAATCTTTAGTCAGTGGACACTTGGCTGGCTGGTCCTCACTGAAAAGTTCTGAGTGCCAGGAGGGTTATTGGGAATGTAGGTGGGGACTAAACTAGTAAATTCCTCTCTGGGCAGACTTTTGTCTATTACAGGGTTTCTTGCTTCTTCCTCTGAATCTTATAGTGGTTGCTGTTGGAGGCTGAATACCCAAGGAGATGGACTACTATTCTGATCCAACAGGGTAATCCCTGTCGGTGTTCAAACTCTAGGCAGTCTGGTTGTGTATTTTATATTATAACATAGCTAAGGCTCGATCTGCGATAGTTACAGCCTTTGAAGGAAGGCAGACAGCATCCACCAGCATTAATATTCTTGTTCATTTTTCTCTCTCATCAGCAGAGCAAATTACAATATAACTTACGCTTGCAATGTATTATAGTCAATTTAAGCAGCTACCAAAGCATGGGACCTGACATCCTTTGGAAGCTGCTACCTTTGGTGGTCTCTGGGTTCTCTATTCAGGCACCAAAGCCTTGTGATGCAGTGTCCTTTGATCTGTGAGACCTGTTGCAGAAGCCTTCTTTGACCACAATAACCCCACACTATGCCATGTACTGCAGAAAACCTGTTATCCCTCATCCTTAGAAAGAGACAACTGACAACTCATCTTCTGAACATGGACCATGGTACAATGTTACTACCGTATTGGTTTGCCAGTGTCTGAGTCAACAGAGGGCACCCTGCACCCACTCGAATGGGATGGACCAGAACAGATGCTCCCAGCTCCCCAGTCCGACCCTGCTTGCTTGTTATCCCTCATGCTACATCCTTTCCTATAATCACAAGATAGGATGTTCCAGGGCCCAGCCAGGATGCAATATACATTCCCACCTTTCATTTATTTCTGCACTCCATTTTTATCCTCCCTCCCCAAAACTTTCAGGTTCCCTCCAATTTTATCCCTGGGCTTGCCCAAACCTTGAGGCTACATATATAGCTGCCCCAAACATGAGAGCTATGCCTGGCCGAATTCCATTTTCATTTTTTTATTATTTCAACAGACGATGTTTATTTTTAAGATTTTTTTTCTATTTTTATCAATTTACATTTTCACAGTTACGGAAAATTATGGGGGTCAGACAATAATTATTTAATGAAGCAGATGCTAAGATTTATCAAGTGATAGCTTTATAACTATTAAAACACATATTGTCAACATCACGTCAAAATACACAGAGTAAATATCCTTAAATCAAACTTCAATAACTTCTCAAGCAGCATTTTTTTCACTTTGCCTATCTATAAATTTCAGTTATTACTGATGGAAATATCTTTTAGTCAATGTGTGTGTATGGTGAAATTGACGTTTACCAATAAAAATCTAATCTTTCCAAGCCTAATTATAGGCTAAGGAAACTGCAGGAAGCTCCCAGCAATGGATGGGTTTGTTCAAGGTCATGAAGCATTGCTGCATTATCTTCCTTATAGATAGAGTCCTCTGGCCAAGAAACAGGGGCCAAAGTCTGAACCCAAGTCTCCCACCTGGCAGTGCAATAGTCTAGGACAGCGATTCTCAGCCAGGGGTCCGCGGGGCCCCATGACTAAAACCCAGAGCCCAATCTCCAGCGTCCCCTGAGGGACTGAAGCCAGGAGGGACTGAGGGACTGAAGCCCCGATCCCGAGCCGCCCCTGCGTGGCTGAAGCCGGGTGGCGCGGGGCTGAATCCCAGAGCGCCAAGCCCTGGTGCTTCCTTTGGGGCAGAAGCCAGGAGCCTATGGGCAGAGTTGGGAACATGGAGGGCATTGCCCCTCCACCCCCCCAACTGCAGCGCAAGAGCACGGCAGTCCCAGGGGCAGCTCCACACCTCCCCCACCATCTCCTCTCCCCGCTCACTGGCCAGGTCGGAGGCGGGAAGCCGGAGCAGTGCGGGGCAGCTGGAGTTTTTATAGCATGTTGAAGGGGCCTCAGAGAGAAAAAGGTTGAGAACCCCTGGTCTAGGGTGTACAGAAAGGGGAGACAGACACTGCTTGTGAAGGGTAGCACGTTAGCATTCAGGGTTTCTTCTCAGCCTGCTCAACCTCCAGCCAAGGCGAGAGACAGTTTTCAGTACAGAAAGTGCAAGGTTTTCATGCTACAGACAGCACCTGGGGACACAATTGTATGGTTGTTGAGACCTCCTTGTCAGCCTCCTTTCAGATAAGTACAATTTAGTGTGATAACCCTAAGCTGTACTATGCTACGCACTAACACTGGGCCTCCTGCTCACTCGAGTGCAGAGAGCACAAGGGGCTTAAACATTAGGGCCTTCGCCCGAGTGCTCTAGGCAGGGGTGAGTGGGAGGCCCAGTGTTCGTGCCCTGTGTGGTGCAGCTTGGCTCTCTATAGCATTTGTGCTACATGAACACCTTGTACTTCCTGTGTCAGTGTTTCTAGCCTTGGCTGAAGGACTGGCATGGTGCATAGGGCATTGTGGGGACACTATGCACAGAGATGAGTTTCACCCTTTGTCGTTTGTTTTTTCTGGCTATTCCTCTTACTGCACCTTTGCTCCTGGCCCACCTACTGCGAGCAGAAGCCTGGAAGCATAGAGGAAAGGTGAACTACACACATCCAGCCAGCAGACAACAAGCCACATGTGACAGATTGAAATCCAAATCCAGAGGCTTTGGTCAGACAAGCGCCTGCCCCCTTCAAAGCAAACTGATCCAGGTCATCCTCTGTTTTACTGATTTCTCCTTAGTTTTTCCTGTACTTTCCCTACTCTTCCAACCCAGGCATCATTTCCTAACAACGAGCCAGCAACGTGCAGCCTTGACCTGGCCAACAAGCACCGTCGGCCTGATCCTACAAGGTACCAAGTGTTCTCAATTCCTACCAACAGCTGTGGAAGTTGTGAGCACTCAGTAGCTCAGAGGAAGCAATCAGGCCCACCAAGAGATACACAGAAAGGAAGCAGGGGCCACCTACTGCTGAATTAGAATCTTCACCAGGTTGATGTGACCACAGGTAGCTGCTGCATGCAGTGGAGTCCACAGCTCATTGTCCTTTGCATTGACATTAGCCCCGTGGTTGAGGAGAAGCTTGACTATCTCTTCGAAGTTGTCTATGCAGCACTGGTGAGGGACAGAAACAGAGGGGATAATTTTTACTTAGAGCTTGTAAGTGATCACAATACCACAAGCTGCATCCTCCACAAGAAACAATTGCTAAAGGCACAGTAACTACACATGGTGCAATATTTCATCTGGGATTCAATTCATGCCAGTAATGCCATGGTTCTTGCCTTAACCCCAAACTGTGCCCTAACAATGACTGATCCTTTCATGGGCTTGGTGGGGTTTTCCTGGCATGACTTCACTTGCTGGCAGTGAAAGTAATGAAACCTCCAGTGTCACAAGCAGAAAACGTTCCCCTTTGTCTGAAGAACAATGACCCTGTGGAGAAATAGCTTTTCTTAAAGCAAACGTCCCTGCAGCACGGAAGAGAGAAAGTCATTTGTAGACAAATCCCCATTCCAGCCTTTACAACATGGACTGGGAAAGGCTGAGCTCAGCAGAAGCTCAACTGCCCTACTGCTGTTCACTGCCGCTCCTCTCAGCAGCGAGCAGGAGGCTGCCTGCTGGCACTTCTAGTCACTGCAACTCCTGTGAGCCAGGAGCAGTTAGATTCTTCTTGTGTTTCTGTGCTAGAGACCAGGACTTTCTAACTGGGGAGGGAATTAAAATTGGTTTGATTTAACAAATTGCAGTTTAGTTCAGTGTAGTCCCCTGTGTGGATGCTTGGAAAATTACTCTAAGTGCCTGAGACCCAGGGACCTCATTATGCCAGCTGGCAGAGGGCACAGGGGTGCATAAAGGCTGTAGAGATACCCTGGGACTGGGGTCTATATAGTGGTTTGCCAAAGACTGTCGTGTAAGGTCTCTAATAAAAGCCAGTGTCACGCTGGTCAGCACAATCATTGTGAGCTGTAAGTATAGAAAACATGGAAGTTTACATATGTATACTAAAAATTGTGTTCCCTAGGTGTGAGAGCTAGGCAGTCAAAAAAAGGTGATCCACATACTTCTGTCAGGCTGGGGGGAAGAGACGCTTCTCCCTCTGACTGGTCATGTGCAAACTGAGTATTGTCTGGTTCACAATATATGCCCATTGACAGTCTGAGCAGAATGCTAATCAATAGGTTGCAGGGGTTACAGGAAATAACAAAAACAGCAGGGGTTATCATGTTTAAGATTAAAGACAAAGAACTTTTGGAAGTAATCTGGGGCATAGATGAACTCCCAGTTATCCTTCACTGGGGAAGGCAAAGCTGCCGGTGGGCTTGGCCTCATGAAAAAAGGGTCACAGCCATCTGGTTGAAAAACACGGTGAGAAGGACTTTGGGGTATGTGGTACCTTATTAGACAAGAGGGCATCTTGTTAGTTGACTTCAGACTCTAGAATGCGTGTTATGATTTTGTTTTATATATAACTCGGTGTTTCTATGTAGCCCTGTGTTCCCAATATTTCTGTTTGCTACTGCACGAATCTTTACTCTTTGTTAAATAAACTTGTATTTGTTTTCTCTATAAAAAAGTGCTGTGTGTTAATTGGAGCTGTGATCTAAAATGAACTCGTAAGCTGTGGTTTACTGTTCCTTTTAGGGACAGCGGGCCTGGTAATTCTGTGATTGTCTGGTGGATAAGTGTCTGGCCATGCCAGGGGATGCTCACAGGGCATCTGTTGCTTACCTGCAGAGGGACAGCAGAGCCCAAGTGGGCTGAGAGGGGAGTATTTGTGCTGCTTGGGGCCAAGGTTGTCAGGGAGCTGACCCAGGCAGGTATAGACAAGGACAAGGTGCCTCACAATGCTGGGTACATCTGAGGAACATCACAGTGCCTTAAATCAATGTATGAGTCTCCACACAAGAAGGCTGCAGCAATTTACCTAAACAGCCAGTGCACTGATTGAACCAAACCCATTTCAAAGCCCGTGAGTGGCTCAGCCTTGTGGGAGAGTCGAGTCAGCTTGCCTTTAAAAGCTGGCAGCCTAGCCTCATGGGGAGCTGCACAAGTGCTGCTTTTTGTATCTGGGCCTAAAGTCCCAAGTCTTGCCCGAGCTCCTCTCTAACCGAAGTAAGTTTTGGGTGTAGGGAGAGGGGCTCTGAGCTCAGCTTAGCCCCAGAGGACAGGATGCTGCAGCATGTGAAGACTTCAGGTGTTTTACGGAAAAACAAGCGAAATACATGTGGGAAGGGAACCCTCCCTTGTCTCTGTGAGATGCACTCACAGATGGCCCTGCACAGACACACTGGTGCTCCAGCACCATGGAAGATGAACACATTAACAAGCAGCCTAGGATGGTGAGGGTAGCTCAAGGCCTCACCTGATGCAGTGCAGTGAGTCCATCTTCATTGCACAGGTCCGGGCTGATATTGTTCTTCAGTAAGTAACACACTGCAAGTGAGAACAAAAGGAAGAAAGGAACTTCAGTTTACCAATCCTGGATACATCTTTCACCCTCAGCAATAACCAAATCCTGGCCACAAAGAAACATGATTGTAGATTGTGACAAAGCCATGGCCACCTACCCACTCCAGGTTGTCACTATGCTGTGCACTGGCAACCGGGATCATCGTGGCAACAGTGGAGCTAGAACTCTGGTCCACGGGCTGCAAAAGCACAGGCCCCTGGCACTTGAGTTACAGGAGAGTTAATATGGCACATATAACATTGTGCTGCCTGATTCTAGCCAGTAGAGGGCACGCATACACAGACAGTTTTTCACTAACTTTACTCTAAATCAGTGGTTCCCAAACTTTAAGAGCCTGTGAACCCCTTTCACTAACACGTCAAGTCTCGCGAACCCCCTCTTAAAAATGAATATTTCCAGGGATTTTCTCCTTTACCTGAGTATAAATTATAAAAGTGGTGATCTTGGAAATATAAAATTTGTTTTTATGACATGTTTATTACACACTATTTATTATTAATTATTATTTATCATTACAGTATTTTTATTACATTATGAAAACGGCAACACTCTTCCAAGATCTCATTTTCGTAGCTTGTATCACTTTGAATAAGCCTGTTATAAGACAAAGCTCCTATGTTTCATCAAGGAGTATCAGATGTGAAACAGCATGAAGGTATTTAAGAAGCCAACTAAAAGAGTTCCTTCTACACAAGCATTCAGGTCTTGAGCAGTCCGGGCAAACAGCGCACATTACAACAAAGCTTAAACTTGTTCTTCATAATAATTTTAAAAACAATACTAGCTGCCTATTTAGTTTTAAAAACAGCAAAAAATATTCACCTCCCTTTCCGTTTCTTATAAGGAATCTTGAAGTTTAAATCTCCTCAGTGTGATAGATATGCTTGCTTTGATTTGCTTAGCTCTTGGAAGTCCAGGGGCTCTGGGCTGCTGGCCCCATGCTCCCCGGGGTCCCTAGGGACAGCCACCATTAGGGATTTTTTTCCCCGAGAACCCCCTGTAACATTTCACGAACCCCCAGGGGTTCACGAACCCCAGTTTGGGAACCACTGCTCTAAATGGAAGCTTTACCATAGAGTAGAACCTCAATTTTATGAACACCAACCATATGAACAACCAACTATATGGATCATTTTTCCAGACAAAAATAAAATAAAATAATCCCATAACAAAAGTGATGTCAATGTCACCCCTTCACATTTTGATGCCTTCATTGCCTTGGAAATCTCTTTGCAGTAATGTCAAGGACAAGATCACGATGCAGGGCACCAAACTGTAACTTATGCCCCAGACCCACTGTAATTTTCCAGTGTTCAGTTTTATGAATTCCTCGATCCAAACTGCATCATAAAATAGGAGTTCTACTGTACCTGGGATTGTAAACTGCACAGGTCTGCTTCAGAACAGTTTGGAACTCGCATTTTATTTCACTGCACCATACCTGAGTGCAGATTTCACTGTGCACTAGGGCGGATTTTTTCCAAAAGATAATTTTTGCTCCCATCTTGATGCCAAAGGAGCCTAACTTCCAGCCAGTGTGGGCACCCACGCTTTGAAATTGGGGCCCCTCTCAGGAGTCACAGATTTGGGATACAAGAGTTGAGGCACCCAGAATCAATCGTCGCTTTGGGAAGTCCTGGCAGGTCTGCAAGATGCAGGCATAGCTTTTGGTACTTCATACAGGTCCGTGTATGCCTGTAGGACATCACAGGATTTTAAGATGACTACTGATGAGTTTGTTAAAATCCTGCCTCTTTCTACAGGTATTGTCAGTTTTTTAAGCAAGGTTCCTTCTGCTAAAGGAAAGCTTCCAAAAATATTTTTAAACCATCTACCCAGTGCAAAAGCAGAAAAATCTAGGAACTGACCTCACACATGGTAACAGCAATGGCCACAAGATAAGAACAGAAGGGTCTCATCAAATATCAGCTGATGGCCAGTATGGGGAATGTTTCAAGTTATTTACACGGAGGTTGTGATGGCCTACACTTGTTTGCTGTGGTTTAGTTTTTTAGTTTCTGTAGCCTTATGCTCTTCCCAGCCACATGTCACTGAGCTAGCAGGTTCATAATAACTTCCTCCCTAGGGGCAGAGATGCACCAGCTACTTGTATCCCATCATGTTCCTTGGCAGGGGATGTAATCATTAAGGGAAACCAGAGCTGTAAAATACAGAACACTCATGAGGCTAAGAGGGCAAGAACAATCTTTACAGCCTGCAGACAGGAGAGATTGCAACACTGGCTATTCCCAGAGCAACAGAACAAGCAGGAAGGCGCCTAGTTTGGACTAGTCACTTTCCTCCCTACAATCCCTTTATCAAAAAGGGAGCGATTAGGGAAATAAACCCTGCAGTGTACACTCATGAGCAACAGGACCTCTGTGCTCTGCTCAGAGAACAGCAATGCTTAGCACTTGCATTCAGAGCACTATGCAGACACTATCTAGGGTAGGGGTAGGCAACCTATGGCACGTGTGCCAAAGGCGGCACGCGAGCTGATTTTCAGTGGCACTCACACTGCCCCTGTCCTGGCCACCAGTCTGGGGATCTGCATTTTAATTTAATTTTAAAAGAAGCTTCTTAAACATTTTAAAAACCTTAGTTACTTTACATACAACAATGGTTTAGTTATATATTACAGACTTACAGAAAGAGACCTTCTAAAAACGTTAAAATGTATTACTGGCACGCGAAACCTTAAATTAGAGTGAATAAATGAAGACTCGGCACACCACTTCTGAAAGGTTGACGACCCATGGGCTAGGGCTATGCCTACACTATGCACCTTTTAGCGACACATCTGTGCCGCTACAGCTGTGCCGCTAAAAGGGGCAGTGTAGCCACTCTTTGTCCGTGGGAGAGAGCTCTCCTGCCGATAAAAAACATCCACCCCCGATGAGCGGCAGTTTTCGGTGGTAAAACTTTTCGGGGGAGTGTTTTTTTCACACCCCTGAATGACAAAAGTTTTACCGACAAAAGTCCAGTGTAGACAAAGTCTAGTTCACACAACTGCTCAGAGAGGCAGGGAATGCTAGGAAGTTCTTATCCTCATTTTAGAAAATACGCATGAAGGGTTCAGACCCCTGCTAAAGCCCTCCAGTTTGAGAAGAGGATCACAACATGGTCAAAATCTGTAGTACAGACAAGATCGTAGGGATGTTCTGTGACCTGCTATAGCCTCGGTCATGGCCAAGGCCTTAGCCCAGTTATGTGACCCAGTTAGGTTTCCTCTACACTACAAATCTGAACCAAGGGATAATCAGGAACCCCAACCTGGCTGTTTATGCGGTCTAGTATTTTTGTAGGGCCTTTCATCTCTCCAGTTCAGTTTCCCCATCTGTAAAATGGGGATAAAAGTACCCACTGCTCTCCAACTCCAGCCCTTTCTGTACTCAGCAGTTTTGTAGTCAGGCACTTCAGTGCTTTGCCCACAGACACAGAGGAAGATGGCATCAGGAGACTAGAATGCCAGAGTTCATTCCATTCCTGTGCATTAGGCACCAGGCCACCTTCTCTTCCAACACAAATTATCATGATGTAACTGATCCAGTGTGACAATCTGGTGTTGAGATATGGCCTAAAGCTTTGCAGATTCCTCTTTATATTTAAACTCAATGTGATATTTTCTTAGTGTGCCAGTTTGCTACCAACACATTCTGCCCTCAAGTCACACAAGCAGGTCTCACTGGGATGAAGGGAAATATAGTCAGGTAGTCAGACCAGACTCCTGAGTTCTGTTCTATTCCTGATTTTTGCCACTCACTGATATTGGCTAAATCACTTAATCCTTCTGAGCCTCAGTTTCCCCATCAGAGATAGGAACAATATTCCTTCCGGACCTCACAGAGGTGTTGGAGGATTAACTAATATCTGCAAAGTGCTTTGGAGGTCCTGATGCTGTTGAGAGCTTGATGTCGGGAGTTGCACAGAGAAAGCTGTTTGCAGCACACACTTTTTCTTGGTCCTATAAAATCCAGGAACCATGTTATATATTCTTGGGCACCATCAACTGGCACCGTATCTATTAACTATTGAGAGAGAGAAACAGAGCACTCCTGTCATATATTTATTCCTTGGAATTAAACACACACAACACAACACCAGGTTTAATGGCCAATCTAGGCAGCTCACACCTTATGCTCAGCACATGGACACCCCACAGTACTTACACACTTCCCAGTTCTCAAACTGTCTGCACCCCTGCCAATACGTCTATTTAATGACTATGCTTCTCCTATTACTGGCTAACTCCATCTTCCTGCTCTAATAATAGGATCTGACTGATAGACCTGTCACTCACCGGTGGATCTGTTTTTTTGTTATTTACTTTGGATGTGATGCCATTAGGAGGCTTAATTCAATCTGGCTCATTTCAGAGCCATTGTGTACTAATGTCATGTGGCTCTATAATCATGTTTTCCCTGCTTACAATGATTTGAGCAAGTAAACGCTGGCAGATTAACCTTACAAGTGCTGTCGTCCATGCGGGAGGAGCCGGGGCATCAGTGGAACACCAGGGTATATGCTGAAGAGTCCATATACTCTCTGCTTGTGTGGGCAAAGTTCATAAGGCACTGAAAGAGTTAAGGATGGTTAGCAAAGGACTGACACGAAGCTCATGTGCAGCCACGTGAGTTGACCTTTACTACAAGACGTATTATATTCTCCCCTTCCACAGACTCAGCAAGGTATTATTCATGCTCATGAATGCAAGAGAGAGACTGCGCTGGCTTGTACATCGCATTCCCTCCAGGCCCAGCCCTGCCCCTGCACCTTAGTCCTGACAGGAAATGCCTTGCGATGAACTTACTCATAGGCCGGGTGCGCGAAAATGAGGGCAGCACTGACAGCCAAGGACTCCTGACTTGGCCCCCCAGCTCTGCCACAGACATCATGTGCCCTCTGTAAGGCTCAGCCCACCTCTCCCCCCCTGGCCCTAGTCTGTAAAATGGGGACAGCGGTA